CTGACATGATAGATCCAAAGTTTGAGATTGACATGTTGTTTATAGATTGTAAGGTGTTTAGGGCAGCTGTCAGAGAATACTCCATCTTGTATAATATGGATGTTGTGTTTATAAGGAATGCAGTTTGTGGGGACCCAAATTGTGGGTGGATGATATATGCTTCAAAAATGTAACATGAGAACACATTGCAAGTGAAGACATATGTAGGTGAGCACACATGTACATAGGTATGGGAGAACCTTACTGTGAAGTCAACATGGATAAGCAAGAAATATGTTGAGACATTGAAGTCCAATCCCCCAGTAGCCAATCAGGTCATTCATGGAGGCTGTTGAGAATGATTATAATACAGGGGTGTCAAGACAAGAAGTGTATAGGGCAAAAGATAAGGCACTAAAGTTGAATGAGGGCACTTTCAATGAACAATATTCAAGAATTTGGGATTATTGTGAGGAATTAAGGAAAAGTAACCCAGGAACCACAACAATGGTTAAGTGTGATTTCCAACAACAGTTGGGACAACCACAGTTTCAAAGGTTGTGTTTTGTTTAGGAGCTGCTAAGGAAGGCTTCAAAGCTGGGTGCAGGCCCATTATAGGTTTAGATGGGTGCTTTTTGAAGAGTGTTTATGCAGGGCAACTGTTAACTGCTGTGGGTATAGACGCCAACAATGAAACCTGGGTAATTGCGTATGCAGTTGTGGAATCAGAGTGCAAGGATTCTTGAATTTGGTTTCTTGAGCTATTGCTTAAGGATTGTGAAATTGTTAATCAATTTGGCTTCACCTTTATATCCGACAAACAAAAAGGTTTACTGCTTGCTTTTAAGCAAGTGGTCCTTAATTGTGACCACAGGTTCTGTGCAAAACACTTTTTTACCAACTATAGGATATTGTTCAAAGCAAAAAGCCTAAGAGATAAGTTTTGGGAAGCATCATATGCAACCAGTGTCCCCCACTTTACAAGGGCCATGGAAGACCTGAAAAAACTGTCCAATGATGCATATGAATGGCTAACCACTCTAGATAAACCTCCAAGGCATTGGTCAAAATCACACTTCAACACTCATTTGAAGTGTGACATGTTATTGAATAATCTGTGCGAGTCTTTCAATGCTATCGTATTGGAATGTAAGGATAGACCAAATCTTACAATGCTTGAGTATATTAGATGTAAGCTGATGAGGAGAATACAAGGAAGAAAGGAAAAAATGCTGAAATGGAACAGGCCTATATGCCCAAGAATATTTAAGAAGGTGGAGGAAAATAAAGCCAAGGCAGGTGCTTGTGTGGCAAGGTGGTCAGGTGGAGGTAAATTCCAAGTGTCAGCTGGTGGCCATGCAAAATATATTGTGGACTTGGAATTAAGGAGTTGTTCTTGTAGAGCATGGTATTTGCAGGGATGACATTGTGTTCAAGCTATTACAACCATAAATTATAAAGGGGTCTTCATGTCATGGATTTTGTGGATGACTGCTATTTGACAACAACTTACTTCAAGACATATGATAATCTCATACTGCCTACGAATGGGATGGATATGTGGGATAAGAGTGACTTTCCGCCATGTCTTCCTCATTCTTACTCTAAACAGCCTGGAAGACCAAGAAAATGTAGAAACAAAGAAGAGGGAGAGCACAAGGGCAAAATGAAGATGAGAGAGTCAAGCAACTAAGCTAAAACTACATTGTCTTGCTTTCCCAACACACATGACTCTCTTAAATGTGGGCAATGTGGTAAAAAGGGGCACAATAAGAGGACTTGTCATAGGAATCTTCCCCCAAAAGCCAAACTTGCAACTAAGGGGAAGAGGGGTATTGAAAATACCCAGGTATAGTAACTCAATCTTATTTAATTCTATCCCTTAATAACCCTAAGCTTTTGTTGCTAACTAACAAGCATTTTTATGTTGTAGACCACTATTGATCCATCTCAAGCAGTTACTTCAGCTGGTCCAAGCGCCATAAAGAAAAGATCAAAGCCTCAAAGGCGTGTGCAAAAAGGGAAACCTTTGGTAACTAACTTTTCTTTATGATGGTTATTATCAATTTTCTTCAATTTCCAAATAAAAGGTTAACATCCTAAACATTTTGCAGCCAAAACCATGTAAGAAAGGACATGCCACTTCTGAAGCACAACCAGCCTCTCAACTTCATGTCCTCATGCTTCTGTTTCAACTGTAGGATCAAATGTTGTAGATTGAAACTGACTTTAAAAAGAATTTGATGACTCACCTTTTTTGTTAGACTGCCGGTTTATGATTAGAAGGTTTTTGTTTTTGATAAATTGGTCTTGTATAACTTAATTATTGACTCTTTTTTATGGATGTAATGGCATTCACATAAGTGTCAACCACTGTGAATGCAAATACATCCATTGAAACTGCCATTTTGGAATGAATTTGAAAGGACATGAAATATGTAATTGTTAATGTTATTATCTGGCTATTTTGAGCCCATTTTGAATTCAGAATTTTCTAAGTTTTGGGGTTGGCACTTCAATTGATTGTTTTGTCAGTTCACTTGATTGTTTTGGCACTTCACTTCATTATTTTGGCCATTCACGTAATTATTCGAGGTGCATCCATTTTCTAACTTCCATGTACATTGTTTTTGGCATTCCCTTGCATAATTTGACTAGCACATAGACCACTATTGGCCGTTCACTTGATTGTTTTGGGCTAATTTTCTAACTTCTCTTTACATTGTTTTTGGCATTCCTTTGCATAAGTTCACTAACACACAGATTTTGATGGTCATTCACTTCCTTTGCATACTCTTTATGATGGCCATTCACTTCATTTAGATGTAATTCTCTGCATTCCATTCACTTCATCAAGTTACAAAAAGTCAACAATTAAACCCTTAACCCTTATCCATAATCCTTAACCCTTACATAAAAATTAAACCGTTACAAAATACCACTAAGAACCCAACACTTACAGAATCACACAAACAACCCACAAACAATTCATTCAATGGCAGAAGCTAATTCCAAGCTCATCTTTTTGTTCACTCCACATTCACACATCCATCCCAAAATGAAGCTTGCAAATAGAACCCATGAAGCCACCAACAACACCCAAACGACCTTTTCTCTTTGTCTTGCCCTTGCCACTGATTTCTCCAACTTATTCCGCAATTTTAGAATCCCAAGAATTATTGCCTTTGACAGTTCACACATGGCCGGATCAAACCATGCCCGGAATTGACAACCCTTAAAACCCTTCTTAGTCTCACGTACCTTTGCTGCACCCATGGAAAATCGCCTCCTAGGATTCGAATATGTCCAAGAGGTTCGAATTGTAGCAGCCTTGCCACACCAACACATTGGCGCCTCTTCATCCATTCCGGCCAACCAATCGGATATTCTTTGTGAGTTTCCTCTCTAATTTTTTTCTTTCTCATTTTTTTATATCAAAATCTATCCAAAACAAGAATGAGTAGTTTGTTCGATTTCATTGTCCAAGCCTTGGGTTATTGGAGCGACGCCTTGGAACGCGTGTGTAAATTGGTAATATTTGAAATGTCGGGTATAAAATTGATTTAATTGAAACCGTGGGACCTATTTCGATACTGACACTAAATCTTCAGGGACTAAAATGTAGTTTTTTCATGTAATAAACTATAAGGACCAAAAAGTCACTCCCAAGTTATTATTTGTATTTTTAGATCCACATTCACAAATGCGTTACACAAACGTAAACGGACAGAGAGAGAAGTGGGGTTTGTCGAGATAGTACAAAGCAAGGTCTTAAATATCGGAGGTATCGGAAATATCGGAAGTCAAAAAACACGGAAATATTGCAGGAAATATCGGGATATTATCGGTATCGGAAAAAATTGAATAAAAACCACGGAAATTGTAAGAAAAACTTGAAAATTTTTATTGAAACTTTGCAGGATGTTTATTTAGTCAATTATCTATTAGTTTATCACAAAAAATTGGAAGGAAATGCATTGCATGATGGATTTAACTGATTTAAGTTGATTATATAGCGAGCTGGCAAACACCGTAAGTGTAGAAAATATGTAGTAATTAATGAAAGAAGATTAAACACACCATAATCATTTATATATATTGAATTACTACAATATTTTACACTTTATACATTGCATGGTAAGATACATGAGTGACTTAGTATCACATAGAGTTCCTATGAGGTTCAAAATTTTCACTATCTTCATCATCTCTATGTGTAGAGTAAGTATATTTTGAAGAGTAGTCATCAAATGATAAATCCCCAAAATAGTTTTGCATGTAATTGTTAACTTGCCACCCATATGGATCCGAGTTTGGTTGACGTTGTCCATAAGCAAAATCATTTGAAGATTGAGTCTCTGATTCTTTCCATGAGTCGCTTGATTCCATCCCAACATGAAAGGGATATGAAGGGTAGGGAAATGGTTGGTTATGAGTATAACCATAGTTACTACTTATCTCATGTGAAAATTTGTTTCTTGCAAAAAGAATTCAAAACAAAACCATGTATATATATAAATATTTTAGTATTTTCACAAAAACATAAGTGATATAGTGGTTAAGGTGTTGAATGAGTAAAATAGTTTTCACAAATACCATGTATATAAATATTTTTGGGTTTCATATCGGGATATTATCGATAATATCTCGATATATTGCCCAAATCATTCATAAAAATGTTGAAAATATCTTCCCGATATTATCGGGATAATATCGATATATTAACGATAACACTATGGTTAGTTGTTAAAATATCGGACCCCTAAAAATCAGATATTATCTGGATAATATCAGGGATATTATCGATATTTAATACCTTGATCCAAAGTAATGGACGGTGGAGTGACCGAGGCGGAAGAACCAAAGGCTGAACTGAACGTCTCCAAACCAAAAAAATAAAAAAAAAAGTAACTTTCCTGTATTGCCCTTTTTGGTCAAACTCCTTTGTTGAATTAGGTCTGCATTGCTATATTACCAACCAACCACTAAATCCAAATTCCCTTCTCAAAGTATCAGGGGGTAATTAGAGATATAAAAAAAGTTAAAACTATTTGAGTATATCTGTATTATCCTAGGCTACAGGCTACAACAAGGCAAATCATTTCATTTCAAGGTTTGGTGAAATAGTTTGAATCGCCCTTTCCTCCGCTTCTCTCTCTATATCTCTCTTCCCCCTAATGGCGATCTGCTTTGCTCCTCTATCCACCTCATTTTCAGGTATGTCTTTACTCAACCGGCAATCTCAGCTCAGGTTCTCATCTTGCTTTCGTGTTCGGTTCCTCAGAAAGCTTAGGACTTTTTATTTATAAATAAAAATAAAAATTTCTTCGACCAATTTTATTTTTAATTTTCCAAAAAAAAATAGTGAAAGAAAAAGTAATTGTAATTTCGTATGTTGTTTCCTCCAGTTTAGACTTTCAGAGTCTTTAGACTGTATATATATAATCTCTGCAGGCGGCGGATGTCAGCTGAAGGCGCGTGAGATGTGGTGGTCCAGCAACAGTCAGGCAGAATCAGCAAAGATCACTACCCAAAGCCCAAGGAAAAATATTCAACTGCGAACCAACCGCAATTTCGCTATTCGTGCTGAGTACAGGTATTCCATTTCAGTTCAGTGATGAGTTGATGTTCAAGACCATTTTTGTTTTTGTATAATCTATCAACGTTGATTGATTCATTCCTCTATATGCAGCAGTGATGATAGTAGGGGTGGAGGTGCTGATTTTCTTGCTGGATTTGTCTTAGGTGGTGCTGTCTTTGGGACTTTAGCTTATGTTTTTGCTCCACAGGTGGTTCCATATTAAATATTATTAATCTTCTTGCCTTCAGTATTCCAATGCACTATATTCTACTTATGTTCATCATATCCATCTCATATGGTTTAATCTTTCTTCTTCACACATGCCAGCTTAATGCTTACAAAAAGAGGTTGTGTTTAGTTGCGGTTACGTTTTAATCAGTTCTCAATTGTACATCAAGGGCATTGTTATACTTTTTCAAGACAACATAGAGGAATGGTTCGATTTTTGTTTTCATTGCATTACCGTGCTTCCTTGTGATTAATTTTTGCTACAATTTAATCAGTTTTCTTTGTGAATTTATTTTGCTAATATTAGCAAAATAAAATAAAAAGGATATTACTTTGTAGAAGAAATCCATTATTTGACTGTTGTAGCATGTTAGTGTGTTGCAATCAACTTCCATTTTTCTACCCTTGCCGTCTATTTTTTGACTGTTGTAGCATGTAATGTAGAAATTTGTTGCTCCTACTTTGTACTCATGACATGGCCAGTCTTATTGTTCACAAAGACTGGCAGCTTGTACTCTTTGTTGGTAAATTCCTATCATCTGTCTGCCTTGCTCTGTATATGGTCTTGATTCCTGTTGGCTACATGTCTTCTCACAGTGATCCTTAAAGGCATAGGATGATTATTCTGCATCATATGTTATTTCATTTGGGTTTTGATCCTGGTTTGCACTTTTGTCGCATGCAGATTAGAAGATCTCTACTTAATGAAGATGAATACGGATTCCGGAAGGCCAGAAGACCAATATATTATGATGAAGGTTTGGAGGTAACACATCTTCATGACTGGACATCCAACCTTTCCCACTTGTTGGAGATGCGATGTATTCTTTTTATTTTTCTCAAAGACAATTTATCTGACTTTTACTTTTCCTTTTCCTTTTCCCTGGGAAGCAGAAGACCAGGCAGACCTTGAATGCAAAAATAAGCCAGCTCAATTCAGCCATTGACAATGTCTCTTCACGTTTGAGAGGTGGGAACAATGTGCCGACGGTGCCAATTAAAAGTGATCCTGAAGTAGAAGCAACCATGTGAGATTCGTTTCAGTTTCTTAGGTACCAATGGTGCTTATTAATGGACTTTACAACTTTGGAGATCAGATGTATGCTTAAAATTGGATGTGTAACTATGTGGTCTTGCCATATTTTTCTTTTGGAGGATGGTGATTTCAATACTTTGGTTATAGTGCTCAGGCTTTGCCGAAGCTACCATACGGTTCATTATTTTGATTACAAGCTAGTGGATTAATAAATGGATTTCTAGCCTTTTGAGATTTGTTGGTAATGGGATAAAGTCCTGGTTCAGACTCTTGGACAGAGCTGAATAACAATTTGGTGTCTTTTGTTCCACCTGATTGCTCTTTTGAAGTACAGAAGCGCAGTTAATAGGCTAGTCAGCTTCCATTAAAATAGTCCCATGCATATATATATCGTCTGGTTTGGCTTGCATTTCACTACAAGGTTCTGGACATGATTAGAAAACAGGCCCTTAGGAAAGGCAGCTCGCCTTAATTAGTAGTGTTGTAGAGTTGTATCTCTAGACTTCACAGTGTTGTTCAACATCGGATCAGACTGGTTTCCTTCCTTTTAGCCAGCCATGGGGTCAATTTCAATTTCACCTGCTGTGTGGTTTTCTTGATCTATTATTGAATGGCAAAGTATGATTAGGTCAGTTATTTGGCTAGATTGGAGGAGAGCAGCAGTTAGGGCTGTGACTGGATTCGATCTTATGTTTGCCAGGTTGAGTTGGGGCTTTCTTTTGGGAGTTTTCTGCCTTCTTCGTGTGCTTATCTCTGCATTGTTCCCTGTTGGAAGCCTTTGTCCACCATGTTCTGTAATGTCATCTTGGTACCAATAAAAGTTCGTTTCTTTTAAGGAACAAAATGAGAACTTGTAGTAATATTTCTTGTAGGAAAAATCTTGTCTTTCATTCTCCGAATCCCTTTGTTTTCTCGGATGATATGAATCTTGGGTTAATCGTTTTATTAATTCTTAAATTTAGATCCGATTTGCATTTGAGTCTCAATTTTCAAAATCGTTCTTGTGGTCCTTCAACTTTAGTTTCGTTAAGAGAAATAGTCTTGTTGTCAATTTTGTAAACTTTTTTGTTAAATGTAGGGGTAAAATGGTATTTTTGTATTAAATTGATTAAAAAATTAGAATTAAACTCTCTTTCTCTCCCCCTCTATCTCGATTTCTACTCCCCCCAAACTTTATTTTTCTTTATTTTTTTGTTGGTTTTTTATTCGATTTTCTTTTATTGTTATTTTAAAGATATAATTTTTTATATACCATTTTGCCCTTGCATTTAATAGAAAAGGTTAACAAATTGACGACATGACCATTTGTCTTAACGAAAGTGAAGTTAAAGGACCACGGGAACGATTTTGGAAATTGAGGGACTCAAATGTAAATCGGGTCTAAATTCAAGGACTAATAAAACGATTAACCCTATGAATCTTTAACAATGAGTTTAAAATCAATAATTTGGCAATATTGTTTCTGAATAAAATCAATAATTTGTCACCCCTCTCTTTTTCTAATGGGGTGTGTTAATTTATCCTCCGTTTGGATGAAGAAAAATAATTCAGAATTTAGTTAAAAGTCAGGAATTGAAGAGGAGAAGTTGATATTTTCATTGTTTGGCAACTTAAGAAGAGAAATGATTAAATGACGTGCATAAAGAATCGTGAAAATTGAGGGTTTTGAAACAAGGATGTCATTTTTGTAAACAAAACTAAAGAGAACCCATACATGATACATGAGATGAGAGAGTTAAAACAAATCAAGATGTTTGATTTATTCCTTTATATGTATTATATCATATGAATCTCATCATTTATTTCTGACGAAGATAGAAACAAACAATCAAAATCAAATCTTGATAAGAACCTTGACACAGTCTGGATGCTTTAAAAGCTCAAGTGCTTGGTTAATGTCTACCAGAGGAACTTGATGAGTCAAAAGTTGGTCAAGTTGCATATCCTGTGGGGCAAAAACAAAAACAAAATTGGAGAATTAATTTACAAAGTTTTAGCGTTGTGTTAAAGCTTAGGTTGGCTTGGGTAGGAGCCTAGGAGGAGTTGGTTCACCTTATTCATGCATTTCTGGATTATAAGGGGAAAGTCGGTTTTGGTTTTGAGCCCTCCAAACATGGAACCTTTCAAGGTTCTGCCACACAATAGGGAAAGGGAATTAATTTGAACGCTTGTTATATTTGAGGTTCCAATGACTATTGCTGTTCCTTTTCCCTGACACAGCAACCGCACAATATTAATCAACACAAAATAAGATTAATTGCTACAGGATTTTTTATATGCATATATATAAAAGCTTCTATTGAAAGATCCTTCAAATAATATTTAAGTTTTTATTGAGAGATCCCTCAAATAACTTATTTGAGGAACACCATTAATATTATATGGTCCACTCCATATTATATTTCACTAATTCAAACGGTCTATTATGATTATAAAATAAAATAAAATAAAAAAATGTTATATTATATGGATACCAATTTTGTGGCCTCAAGGGCTTCATTGATGAAGGGTGCAAAGCCGGTGCACTCAAAGCAATAATCAACACCCATTCCAGCTGTCAAGTCCTTGATCAGCTGAGAAACTGATTTATGATGATGATGATGATGATGATCAGGGTTTATAAAATCAGTCATTCCAAAAGCTTTTCCTTTTTCTCTTTTCTTGTCATTTTTGTCGATGCCAATGATCCTAGCGGCACCTTGCACTCTAGCGCCCTCAACTGCCTGCCCTTGTTAGATAATAATTAATAATACAAAAATGGAATTAATTACTTAATAATTAGGTAGGTAGCTAGTAGAAAGAACATATGCAAGATATATACATACCCCTAATCCAACAGCACCAAGACCAATAACAGCGACGGTCGATCCTTTTTCAAGCTTAGCTTCCTTCCAAGGAGCCCCAAATCCAGTAGAAAATCCACAGGAGAGGAAGCTTGCGTGGGGGAGCGGAAAACTACCACTAGTGATCATATTGGGAGGAAGCTTGACAAGGTAATTAACATTCACAACCATGTACTCTGAACATGTTGAGCAAGAAAATACATGGTACAGCTTCTGTCCCTTGGCAGACATTCTTGAAGTGCCGTCCGGCATGAGACCGGTGAACGATAAAGGATATTTGAGGCACATGTTTGTCTTTCCCGAAACACAATTCTCGCATTCTTGGCACTCTGAAACAAACGTTGGAATCACCATGTCTCCTTCTTCCCCGATGCTCTCTACCACACTAGGCATGCCGCATGCGCAATTTAAAGTTCCATTACTCTTCCATCCAGATCCAGATAATTAAATAGATACATAATACATTACAGAGTGAGAGTACGTACCCGACGCCTTCATGCCCAAGAACTCGAGGGAAGAGAGGCTGTGATAAAAGAAAGATGAAAATAATAATCAATCCACCCCTTTTTGTTTAAATTATTATTTCAGATCACAAATAAGTAATAATATTACTATTACTATATATATACTAACAATTGGGTGGCCTTTTTGGAAATCAAGATGTCAGTGTGACAAAGACTGGCGTAGAGCATCTTCACCCGAACTTCAGACGCTTTTGGAGGCTCTACTTGTATCTCTTCCACCTTCCCTGCTTCTCCTATTCCCCAGCATACCACCGCTGCATGCATGCATGCATAATATTCATTCATGCTCAATCCCACATATTATATTAATTACATACATTAATCATACTAGCTAGCTAGCACCAAGCACGCATACCTTTGCATGTTATGACCTGTGAGTGTCTCTCTGTCTCTGACATTAATTATATCAATTTCTGGAAATAAGATAACTACGACCCACCTGCATGCCTCAGCCTGCCTATCAGCTACTATATATATTGGGATTGGGATTGCACAAGTTGCATGTATAACATTTGACTAATATGCAATGTTGGACCAACAACAGACAGATTTATCAAATAAATATCAAAATTAATGATTTCTGTCTTTCGACGTCGTTTACTTTACAAGATCAAGTTCGGAATTAAAGGATTTGTGTAAACACGAAAATCCTGTGACAAATAAGATAAGAACACGTGTACAAAATAATATTTGTATTGATTTATTAAGTGTGTAGGTTACAATCTCTGTGGGTATTCTTTTACAAAAATAAAAGAATTTCCTCTGATTCGATCTCCAAAGTGTTTAAAGAAAATTTGTGTTTGATACAAGGGTCGTAGAGACTTGATCTTGATCAAACGGGTAGCACAAGGCTTGTTTGGTGATTGGATTTTTCTATGGTGGAGGAACCAGCACGTACTTGTTGTGCTTGGTGGCTCTTCCGAAGTGAGGTGAAGAATGCAGAGAGTTTTCTATTTCTTATGAGTGCTTGGGTGTGTCTACGCTTTTTTTTTTTTTTTTTTTTTTTTTTTTTTTTTT